CCCTCCTCCCAGTGAAGTGGCTAGTACACAGTCCCCCCTCCTCCCAGCAGCAGCAGAAGAAGGACATATTTTAAGCCTCGAACTGGATGCTCAATTTTTGACATCAAGTTTTTATGAAATGTTTCAAAATCATCACATTTTCGAGTCATTTTTCCAAGAATTTCATCGCACTAACATTTTCAGTAAGACCACAGTGACCTCATTCTTTTCAGAGAGCTTACACTAAGACCTGGATTCCAGAGTGCTAAGTATTTTTAGCATTTGTTTTTATGCTACAGCAGCAGGAAAGGAAGACTCAGTGGGGGAGGCTGCTTTGGGTTCACCAACAGAGAATCAGACAAGTCCACCTGAGCTAGCACAGCACCTGCCTGTCATCCTTCTGAAACCCTGTGTATTTTGAATTTCTTCCTGTTGGAATCATCACTGCATTCTCTCTGATGAGAGACAAAGCACTTGACACATCAGGTGGTCACCTAAGCAATATCCATGGCAAAAGTATTTATCTTTACTTCAACCTTTCTTTTAGTTGCTTGTGCCGTTTTTAAATGTTTATTTCAATTTAACCAGATACTTGGATCATACTTGGCCTAATTGTGTTCAGTAACTATAACTGAACAGTGAGCTAGCAAGTACAGAGGGGCGGGGAAGCAAGAAACAGACACCACTGAGGTGAAAAATTAAGATTGAAGAAGTATTAACTTGGCCAGGCATTGTGGCACATGCCTTAATCCCAGCACTAGGGAGTCAGAAGCAGGTGAATCTCTTTAAATTTGAGGTCAGTCAGGTCTACATAGTGAGTTCCAGGACAGCCAAGGATACAGAGTGAGACTCTGTCTCATACAAAACAAAACAAACAAAGCACAACAGCAACAACAACAAAGAAAAACAAAAAAACATTGAGTTGTTAAAAGAGTCATTTTTATGTTTCGGTTTTTTTGGTTGCAAATAACAAAGCAAGAGGATGATACATTGTGTCAGTGACAGATGCACACTGTTCACAGAGGACTAACCCGCACTAAGCACAGCAAACTTACATCAACTTACAAGACTACACTTGGATGTAAGACCAGATCAATATTTCTGAAAACCATTCAAAGACCATGCACAATTATAAAAATGGTCCCAGAAAGGAATGCTGAATCCTTGGTTCTCCTGGTGAGAGACCATGTCCTGTGTGGGCTCAAGCTCCGCCCAGAAGCTGATGCTACGGTTTCCCCTACTGGTCAACCTCAATATAGAAGTCAGCACAGTATAGCAGGATAATTTCCTGCTACTGCTACATTGTATATGCAGTGGAACTCGTGATTGGGCAGTATCAAAGATAGGCAGAGTGAGGAAGGGAAAAAGAGGAGAGGAATGAGAGGAAAGAAGGAGAGGAAGGAGAGGAGAAAACGAGAGAAGAAGCTATCAACCATGGAGGAGGACGGATGGTTGGAGAGCAGTCCTGGGTACCAACTTATCAAAAGGTTAGATATTGGATAACAATTCTAACTGTGTGGGCATCTTGTTAATTGAGCATTTCCAGATATATAAATCTATTGTATAATCTTTAAACATTAGGAGTCTTCATTCTTCCGGGTACAGCGTGTATGGAAGATATTGTCTGAGGTTCAGCCAAGCTTTCTGGATGCAGCATGGGTGATTGGCAGAGCTATCCCCCACACTGGCATCTCACGGGTCTAGTTGTGGCACGCCTGGCCTCTGGCCTATTCTAGCTGTGGCGCGCATGACTTCTGGCTGCTTCTAGTGTGGAACATGGCGGCTGGAGCCAAGCAGAGCCACCCCACCAATTAGGTAGCCGGCCTGTGTCGAGGCTTTTCTAAATATTACCTGTTACAGCACAGCCTAGCTGCTAGCTACAAATTACTCATGACATCTACCCCTAAGAAATTCTGCTTCCCCCTCGGGAGGTAGCTCAGCAGTTAAGAGCACTGGCTGCTCTTGCAGAGGACCCAAGCTCAGTTCCCAGCATCTACGTGATAGCCTACAATTGTCTGTAACTCCAGTTACAGAGTATCTAGTGCTCTCTTATGGCCTCCATGGGCATTAGGCATGCACATGGTGCACAGAAATACATGCAAGCAAAACACTCACACACATAAAGTAAAAATAAATACGTCTTTTAAAAAAGAGAGAAAAAAGAGATTCTTCTTGATGCTTCATGGTGAGGAACCATGTGTAGATGGAAGCAAGCTAACAGGCAGTCACAGAGACAACGATCCACAGAATGAAACGTGAGTGACCAGGAGCCCTATGGGAAGCTGCTTACTCTCTAGGATTCTTGCCCCATTAGATGGACAGGTAGGTATATAACATCTGACACTTCTTGCTGCTTGTGGAGTGGGGAAGTATGCACTCTGAAGAGCACAGTGGCAGTGTTCTACAAAATTATAAGCTGGCACCATTTGCAGTCCAATGGTTCTACTTGTGCTTATTCACCCAAGTGACACTTTCACACAGCACAAGAAAGAAGCAGCAAAGCTCACATGGGCTTGTTGGTGCTTCCCTGGGATTCTAGCCTTCAGGAGGGGAAGCAGGAGGGTTCCCAGTTCAAAACTACCCTAGGTTGTTTAGGGAGACCTTATCCAAAGACAAGGAGGACGGATTTTAAGACAATCAAGAGG